AAAAAAAAAAAAAAAAAAAAATTATTATTATTATTATTTTTTTTTATTAATATGTGAAATAATTTTCTGAGTGGTTAAACAGCTCAATTATTAATCTTTTTTTAAAGAGAAGAATTTTTATTATTTTAATAAATTTAAGATTTAAATTAACAAACGACAAACGACAACCATAACAACAACCATAACAACAACCAAAACAACAACAACAACAATGTATAAAAACGTTTGAAAAAAAAAAAAAACTAAATTTTTTTCTTTTTTTTTTATAATTTGTCGTCGACTTGACTGACAACCCCTTAATAATAATAATAATTATTACGTTAAACGTTGTGCGTGTGTGTGCGTGCGTGTGTGCGTGCGGGATGTAGTAAAAAATTTTAAAAAGTATATTTATTATATTTATAAAGTTAAATAAATGTAATTTATTTAACTCGATCGGGTACCACCCATGTTGTCAAATAATTTGACAAAAACAGTTGATCTTTGCAACTTTTTCTCTCTCTCTCTCTCTCTCTCTCTAATATTCAAATTAACTAACCTGACGTATATATAAATATTAACCGAGAATATATTGTCTAAGGTCAGGTTTTTTATTCAGGTTTTTTTTTTTTTTTTTTTTTTTTTGTTCTGTTATTATTATTATTTTTTTTGTATGCACTTTGTAGTATATGTTTAGTAAAAAAAAAAAAAAAAAAAAATTTTTTTGATTGAAAACTTGATTTATATGTTTATACAGTATGTTTATAACGTATAATTGTTTGTTGTTGTTGTTGTTGTATATGCAAAAAAAAAAAAAGTTTTTTACCTGAATAAAATATGTGTTACGAAACTGTAATTACGAGTATAAATTTTTTTTGTTATTTTTTATACATTAAAAAAAAAAAAAAAAATGGCGGCGTGCGTTTTAACGTTTATCACATACGACAATAACGACAACGAATGAAAAAATAAATAAATTCAATTTCAAATCGTTAACCGTTTTAAATTTTAACGAAAGGTTTTCGTTTTGTTTAAATAGTTTTAAAAAAAACTTACCATTTATGCCCGTTTTCGTCCTTGGTATTTTGAATATTGTTCGAAATCAACGTTTTTTCCATCACGTCCATTAAATTCATAGGACGTTTCCTTTTTATTTCTGTCGTTCGAATCTGCGGATTTAAAATAAACGTTACGTTACAAAATCACGACTCATTTATACAATTTGTGTGAGAGATTATGATTTATAAAAAGTTTTTTAAACGAATTTTAAAAAAAAAAAAAAATTTAAAATTCGAAAACACCGTAATTTTAAAAAAGAGCGACACGAAATAAATTTTAACGGTTTTTATTTTTAGGGAATTTTTTTTTTGTCGAAGTTTTACAGCGCATTCTGACGGAATATTTTATAATTAACTTTCGTACCGGCCAAAATGATTGCTTTTATGATATTTAGTATAAGGATTAAGTAAAATGTAGATTTAAGAAAATACCCATCGGGTTTTTAAAATCATGAGTCTTCCAACTCAAGATGTTCTTGATGGTATTAACGAATTAATAACGGAAATCACTGGATTTCAGGTGATGGTTAATTTTTGATATGTTTACCACGATTCTTAAACCTCATCTTAAACCTAAAAATTTAATTTTAAATTAATTATTGTGTTGATGAAGCCTCACGATGAAAACTTTGAAATATGTCAACGTTATTGCATTTCACACGTCGTTCATCACACGTATCCTTTTGTAAATAAATCAACCGTTAAAAATTCAATAGAAGGTTATGTGTCAAGATTTTATGGACATGGTTATTTCAAAGTTTGTCAAGAACTTCAAAATCAAGTGAAAAAATATTTAAATAATGAGTCAGTATTTGAAAAAAATCCTCAGGTACGTTTGATTATTGGCAATGTTTACACCCCAAAATTAACATGCATTCATATTAATTTGATTAACATTAATTACAGTATGATATACAATGGAGTTTATTAAGTTTACTATGTAATTTAAGTTCAAATTTAACTGATGTTAAAACAGTTCCCCAACTTTTACCAACAGATGAAATCGAAAGCGAAACAGATGATTTCGATTGGTATGAATATTTAACAAAAGATCTACCACAAAAATCCAACGACTTTACATATGATAGCGAATTATCCAGTTCTGTGAGTCGACATTTTTTAATTTGCAACATAAACAATTACACAATTAAAAGACTTTAATTGTTTTTATATAAGGAAGAGAATGACGACAATTATGACAGTAGAGAAAACTCAAATTATTCAGAAGATGAAAATCTTGATAAACAAATTGTGTGCCAACCGGAGATCAAGTCTGAACCGCCATTAAATTGCCAAATTTCACAAGTTGAAACCATTGCAGAACTCAGGAGAAAATCAATAGAAGATTTACTTAGGATAAAACAAAATAATGATGAAATCGAAAATGATTGTAATAGTAGAGGAAATATTTCCGAACAGTTGTAAGTGTCCTACACCATCATCGATTTCACACGAAATAAATTTTTAAAAAAAAAAAAAAACATCATTTTTACTTTCAAGTCAAGAATTGTTAAGTAACGAAGGAATTTATCAACCATTTCAATATTTATCAGAAATAGAAATGATGGAATATATATTATGTCAATTTCAAACGGGTGAAAACATTTTTTTAAAAAAAGGACTCGTTAATCCAGCTCTCATAAGCGTCACACAGGTAAAAAAAAAAAAAAAAGTAACTTGTGCCGAGCAATTAAAAACAATCGATTACAATTTCATGAAATTAATTTTAGAACACAATCGGATTTTATTTCAAATCATTGCAACCTTATTTTGACATGATCAAATGTTTTGTCACATTCGATAAAGAAATAATGTCAGCCAAATATCCGGAATTGAATTCGGATGAAAATAATGATTTCATTATGACAAACTACGAATTGTCTTCGAATAAATCAGTGTAAGATTTCAGTAAACTTTTTTATGTCCTTCCATTAAGTAAAATTATTCTTAATTCTTTGCTTTTTTTCCAGTTTCCAGTATTTAAAAATTCCAAACGTTTTATTCAAATATAGTCTTCTTATGAAAAAAGCATTAGAACCATTTCAAAATGAAATTATGGATATATTAAATGATTGTAAGTTGAACAGAAGAAAATACGAGGGGGGGGCGGGGGGTTAGTTTTCATTACTCCAAAATGTAATTTGTTTTCCAGTGGATTCATATACGATAATAAGCATGCATAAAAAACTCCAGCGTCATTTTTTCAAATTGACGTCATTATTTTCGATGCATAATAAAGCGACGAAAAATTGGAAAAAAAGTACCAATTGGGTTTCCTCGATAAGGTAACGTTGTGTTAGCATCCATCCATGCATGGACGACAATTTAAATCGCTCGAAATGATTTTTTTGTTTTGATTTAAGGATTCTCACGGTTCTTTATAACGCCATAATGAATGCGACAACGGTAGAAATGAGTTTCCTTTACTTGAATATTTTTCTTCAATGTTTTCAAATTTATTTGGATATAATAGACTCTTGGATATCATTTATGAAATTAAACGATCCAAATGATGAATTTATCGTTTCCAAGTAAAAAAAAAAAAATTTATTTTCTTTTGTTTCTTTATTATTATTACTTCTTCTTCTTAGTTTCTCGGTCGAAATGAATTTTTTTTTTTCTTTTTTCCAGATTGAAAAGAACGACAAAATGTTCGAAGAATAATTTCATCGATGAATTTACAATTCGTCCTTACGAAGTTGAATTATGCGATACGGGAATGAAAATGATTCCGATAATTAAATTCATTTCGGAAAAGGTTAATTAATTAATTAATTAACATTCCGGACGTTTTTTGTTTGTTTGCGTAAAAAAAAATCATTTTTTCCATCCATTTGTCGTAGATGATACTCGTTGGTCAATCGTTAGAAGTCCTCAGGCATTTGGAAAGATTCATATCCAGAAACGAACAATGCGAGATGACGTCATCATCTTACGAAGAACTCGTCAAAAATTTAAATATAAAAATCGACGAATTGGGAAAAAAAATGGAGGAGGTTACGTCCAAATCCGAAATAAAAGAAAAAAAACAAAAAAGTATTTTCACAATGAAAAATATAAATTTTTTGCCGTTGAATCGTATGAGAGAATCGAAAGGAGACGGTCCAGATGTATTTTCCGAATTGGCAAAAGAAGAAGAAGAAGAAGAGGGAATGAAAAAGGAGGATAAAAAAACGAAAGAAAACGATAAAATCGAAAGTATCGAATCTCGATCGAAAAACGATTGTTTCGATTTTATACAATCGACAATCGGAAATGAATTTTTCAAAAAGGCTTTCGATAATATCGGTTTAGAACACGAAATGAAAAGGTTGGAAGGATCTAAAATCAATGGGGAAAAATACGAATCTTGTTCCCTTTACGTCATAAAGTGAGTGAGAGAATAATTTTTTAACACACGTGGTGTTCACGTGGTGTCCCCGGAATCCATTCGATTGGATTTTTACATTTTTTTTTTTTTTTTTTTGTAATTATGTTTTCAGTAAAGCGTACGAGGGAAAATACGCCGTTTATCCTTATCACAAAATGATAACGGAATGCTGTCAAAAAATATTAGAAAGTCGAATATATTCCGCTTGTTCGACGGTTAAAAAAATCGTCGTCGTCGAACGTCATTTAAATTCTCACATTTCGCTTTTACAAAGTCTTCTCTTATTCAACGATTCGTATTTGATTCAACCTTTTCTCTCGGTTTTTTTCACTCAGGTACACACATTTCCCTTATCCTCCTCCTCCTTCTCTTTTCCTTTTCCCTCTCTCTCTCCCCCTCTCTCTATCTCCTTTCGATTAATAATTTTTCTCGTTTCAGGTCGGTGTGTGGGAAAATCCATTTTCTCTCACTTTCCACTTGAAAGAATGTTTGGAATCACGTTATGAAAATTTCATTTCCGGTTTATCCGTTTCCGTTGCGAAAAATTTATATTCGGCGTCGGGTAAAAACATATTGTTGGCAATCGATAATTTGATGATAAATTACACGGTGATAAAAGATGATGATAATGATTAAAATGATGATGATGATGATTGGAATTTAAATTTTTTTTTTGTTTTGTTTTCAGGTCGAATGGCCGCTCACGTTAATATTCACGCAAAATCTCATGTTGAAATACAACAGGATATTTCGCATAGCATTGAAATTAAAATGGGCTCATTGGACACTGTCAAACCTTCATTTTCGAAGTACACCTCATCATCATCATCATTATTATTATTTATTTAAAACCAAGTAGTTAATAGTATTAAACGATGATGACGTATGTTTTTCAGGTATCGCGAAAGAATTCAATCACGAACGTCACAGGCTACACCTTTTAAGATTTTGGTTTTTGAGCATATTAAACAAGATAAATAATTATTTCATGGCTCAAATGAGTCCGGTTCATTTAAATTTCGACACGTGCGAAACGTTGGAAGAGATAATAACGAGTAATTATCATCATCATCATTATTACTACTATTACTACTACTATTGAAATAATTTTTTTTTTACTCACCGAAAACGTTTTGTTATTTGTTTCCGTTCTGGTATCATACAGTGCATTCCAACTTTATCGATAACGTCTATTACAATTGTCTTCTAAGCGATAAGTCACCGGAAATGTATAAAGTTTTATTCGACACTCTCATTCCACTGTGTAGAGACGTTGAAATATTTTGGAACGACGAAGGAAACAACGACAACAAATCTTTGATGACGTCATCAAATTTTCCAAATTTAAAAAATATGGAAATGATATTTGGAAATTGTCAAATGAAAATATTCCGGTTGTTGAATTCCCTGGAAAATGATTAAACAAAAAGTTTATATAAATTTTATTATTATTATTATTAATTGTATTAAATAAATTTTTTATAAGATATAAATTGTTATTACAATCAATTAAAATTTTCCCGTCACCGTTTGATGAAAATTACTAATTAAATGAAATTTGAAAGGTAAGAAGAAACAAAAAAAAAAAAAAAAAAAAAAAATTAGGTAATAATAATAATAATAAATGAAAAGGTATTTCAATATATATTATATTGAATAATAAATAATACTGAAAATTAGTATTTAAAAAAATTTTTTTTTTTTTAACGTTTTAATAATTGATAACAACTTACAACAACGCAAATCGATTTTCTTCCTGTTTCTTTCTTTTTTCTATTCGCGTGTGTGTGTGTGTGTGTGCGTGTGTGTTCGTGTGTATCTGTGTGTGTTCATTAATGTAATTTGTTTACACTTGAATATGTAATCGTTTTCTATATGGCGTTTTCTTATTATTATTATTCTCAACGTAATTATATCAAATAAATAAAAGCCATTATGAAAAATGAACAAATATATATGATGAAAAAAATTCTATCGATGGCCGTGGCAAATAATATCCAGTCTTTTTGATAAATATTTGAATTTGATTCGTTTGAATGTCTTCCCTGTTCGGAAAGTACCGGTTGATTATCCGTCATTTCTTCTCCTCTGCTAAAATGATTCTAAAATCATATCATTATTATTATTATTATTGTTATTTAAAAAATTTCTATTGTGAAATTCGATTGGGGGCGGGGCGAGGGGAGGGAGGGACTTACCCGATTATCCGATGTTTTTATCAGGAGGCATTTGCCAACTCCTTCGATGAGATTTTTTTTTAATATCCACGGCAATGGAGATAATTTTGGATTTTTTGCTAAATTTATTATGAAAACTTCAATGGCGACCGATATCGATACCAAATAAAGTGTTTGACTGTAAAACGTAACTGAAAATTAAATGGAAAATTTAGTGACGAATTTCTCATGGGGGTTTTCGCAAAAAGTTTTTTGTTGAATTTACTTATGTGAGGAGTGTTTCCAGCCATGGCGGGCATTTTTTCAAGAAAATATAATAAAAATAAACACGTTGTTATAACGGCAGCTCCTCCTAGTGTAACTTTATCCCCCGACGTCGGTGGAAGCCAAAATGAGGCCAAAACCATTAAAATAACGGCTGAAAAAAAAAAAAATTTAATTAATTAAAATCAATTGTGCGTGTAAATTTAAAAAGAAAAAACAAAACTGTATTTCTTTTGTAAAACATGTTTTCATTTACCGGAAACTGGCGTAATGATAAGAGCTTTATAAGTTGCAGAATGTCGTTGAATCGTGAGTTCGAATGTAACGTCCGTATATGGAATCGGACAACAGGGATAATAAACTGAATTCCTTTTAACTGTCATTTTAACAAATTCCCATTCCGAATTGGGTACTAAATTTGGTAACTGTAAAATTAAAAATTAATTTTTAAAGTTTTCTGTCCCTCTCTCTCACTCTCACTCTCTCTCTTTCTTACTCACTCATTCTCATTCTCATTCTCATTCTATCTCTCTCTCTCTCTCTTTCTCACTCACTCATCTCATTCTCATTCTCATTCTCATTCTCTCTCTCTTTCTCTTTTAATTAATGTCTATTTTAAACAAAGATACTAAAGATTCACATCGAAGTGTTTGATTGTTTTATAAAATTGTCATGCTTACTTTGTAAACTGTTTGCATGTGATTCGAATTAAACAAATCAACTTGTTCGCCATTATAAGTCCATGACCCAATTTTAAGTGAACATGTTTGACTATCGAATGGCCAATTTGTAAAATCCATTTGACAAAAAACTTGAAATATGGATGGAGGAACCCAAATAACAGTTCCATTGAAATATGCAATGAGATTAGTGTTGCCATAATGATCTATTGTACTACCTGTCGCACTGATGTATACTTTCGATTAATTTTAAGTAATCAAACGAGAAAACAAAAAATTATTTGCAATTTTCATTACCTGTTGTATGGAAACACATCCGGTTGCCAAACTTCATGATCAGCTAAATGAATTTCTTTCATGTCACCATACGAGCTAGGATTCCATTTGAGTTTTTCATCTTCCCAATACTTGTAAATAACAAATTTTATTGAAAAATTTTATATTTATCCACCAAAATAAGTAAAAAAAAACTTACCATACTTGCCCAACAGTGAATTGTCATTATCGAACGTTTTTCATCCTTTAAAAAGTAAAAAAATTTTAAGAAACTTTTATGTTGATTCTATTATTATTATTATTATTATTATTATTATAGGTATTTGTAAAAATTTTACCATTTCGATGTGTCTAATGACAGGTTCAATAATAACGGACGTTTTATTTCCATGTTGCATGGGTCTTGCAAATTTATCATAATGTAATAAAAGATCTTGTTTTAATTTATCCGTCCATGTTAATTTCCAAAGTGGATTTTTAGGCCCTTTAAAAAAATTTTTTAAAATCGTTATTTAATAAAATTCTCATCGAAACGAATTGTTTTCGACATGCTACAAACTATTTCAAATAAATTTATCCCTTAATTATAACAAATTCGTCACATTTTCGATTATTTTTTATTAAAAAAAATTTTGGCGGGAGAACGAAAGGGTTAACCGAGGCCTAGAACATTCGATTAGAAAAAACCGTTAAATTTTTTTTTTTTACTGTAAAATATTTTCCCGTACGAATTCGAACAAATAAATTTTTCGTGTTAAAATTTTTATCCATTTCGAAATTAAAATTAAAAAGAAAATCAGATTAATAATAATCAAATAAAAAATGAATAAAAAATAATTTAAAAGTTAAAAAAATGTAATTAACAACTTACTATTGTCGTTGAATGACGCTTCAGGTATTTGCAATGTTGCGACAAAATGGGCTACGATAATAAAAAAAAAAATTTTTTGTTTCATGTTTTATCCCCAAGACCGGTTCGTACGATACTAACTCGTTGTTTTTAAAAAAAAAAAAAAAAAATGTCGCTGAGTCAGCAAATATGTGGGATGTTTATATGAGAAAAATTTTTACTGATATAATAACGTACTTGAATTCACTTTTTGAATATAACAAAAGATTTTTGTTCACAACAATGATAAGACCTTTTCAAAAACTTTAGCCATTGATTTTTTTTTGTTTGTTTGTTTCATTTAACCAGAACCTTCTAAACGGATATTTGTGGAATTTTTTCCCTGTCACGTGATTTTTAAACATTAACGGTTTTTTTTTGTTATCTCTAACTCTCATCTTAACATCACATTTTTTTAAAAATTATTTAACGATTATGTTTTTCACATGACAATACATTACACACACACATCCATACCCTTATGTGAAATAATAATAATAATAATAATAATGACGTAAATCTTAAAATAGAAGAAGATTTTCAATTTAAATTTGATTTTAAATTTATATAAATTTTTAGTTTAAAACTATAAAAGGTAAAACTTTCATTTTAATTCATCCTAATCCTCATCATCATTATTATTATTATTATTATTATTATAAATAAAAAAGGAAAACGTTTTTGTTTTACCTTCATGTTATGTTATTTTTTGCAAATTTTTTCCTTCTTTTTTTTTTTCATCTTTATCATCTTTTTCTTTTCATCTTATTCATATTTAACTGTTAATATCAATTTAAAAATTCAAATTTGATTGTGTTGCTAAAAAAAAAAAAAAAAAAAAAAAAAAAAAAATATAATATATGCTAAAGTGAATAATGATGTGGTTTTACTATTACTATTATCATTATTATTATTACTATTATTATTATTATTATTATTAGTTAAATAAGTTCGTGTTCATCATTACACACACACACAAAAAGAAAAGAAAAAAAAAAAGAGAGAGAAAGAAACATTTGGAAAGATGTTTTGTTGGAAACTGTCGAACGACGACTGATCGATTTGAAAAATTTTAACGATTTTTTCGTGTGACGTCATCAAAAGAATCTTTTTAAAAATTCGCGCGCTTACGTGCTACGTGTTTACATTGTTTATTTTTTCAAATTTTTCCGTTACGCGCGATGTGCGTTCACGCACGTACAAACAAACAAACAAACAAAATTTTTCGTTTTTTTTTTTTTTTATTTTGTATTACCTATAAAATAAAAAGGTCTTTAACATTTTAAATAATTTCATCCGGATCGTTGAGTAATGTCGGATGTTTATATTATTATTTATCAAAAATAGAAAAAAAAAAAAAATTTTTTTTTTTTTTCTATTTTTGTTTTAAATTTAATTTATAAGCGCCATTTTAATAATTGATTAAAATTATCGTTTTTTTTTTTTTTTTTTTTCCCGTGTACGATTAATATTATTATTATTATTATCGAATAAATGAATAAATTTCAAACGAAAGTTTTCGGGAAAAAAAAAAAAATTAGTAATTATTATTATTATTATTTCGGTTTTTTTTTTTTTCAAATACAATATTTGAAAAAGGTTAAAATTGCTAAAGGGCAACAAAATTAATTTTTTAAATTTACCCGAGGGGTAAAAAGTAAAAAAAAAAAAAAAATTCTATTCGGAATCCTCCGGTTGTTGTTGTTGTTGTTGTTGAAGAATATCAACAACCAACAAACGGTTATTTTTTATTTAAAATTTTGTTGCCATCGGCAAGGTTGTCAAATGAATGTTTTTTCTAAAACCGTTTTCGAAAAAATCACGTTTTCCGCAAAAAAAAAAAAAAAAAAAAAAAAAGTTTTCACGAATTTAAAAAAGGTTAAAAACTAGTTTTAATTTTTATAAATTTTAATTACAATTATATAGTTTTCTCTATTCAAGGAAAACGGCCCCCAAAATATTTTTATTTTTTTTCTTTATCGAAAACCTGTTTTAATATTATTATTATTATTATCGAGTGAAATCTTTTTTTTTTTTTTTTTTTTTTCTATAAAATAATCTAAACTTTAAAATTTTTACTATTTTCGATTACAAAATATTTCGATTATTATTAATTCCACCTTAACAAACACAAACTTTCTAATCATCATCATCATCATCATCATCATCATTATTATTATTATTATTATCATTATCACGTCTGTCTGCTAAACATCGATTTTTAAAAAATGGCGCAAATTTAATCGTATTTAAACAAAAACAAAACAAAAACAAAATTATTCGATTTGTTGTTGTTTAATCTAAATTAAACTCTTAAAATTTAATCATTATTATTATTATTATTATTATTATTATTATTATTATCGTTCGTAGGTATTTTTTAACAGGTACAGGAAGTTATTAACTATTCAATAATTCAACTTGATTTCTCTTTTTGTTTGAATGAGTAGTCGTTGGAAAATAAAAATAAATAAAGGCGTTACTATCATTCTCATTCATACATTAAAAATTTTTTTGTTTTTTTTCTTCGTAATAATAATAATAATAATAACGTGACGATGCGTTTATGTTGTTAGCAGACGACAAAAGAAAACAAAAAAAGCCAGAAGGAAACATAAAAAATAAAAATGTCAGGTGTTAAGGGGTCCACAAATTTGATATTTGATTATTTTGTAATAAATTCACATCGTCATCATTATTATCATTATCACTATCATTATCGTTATAGCTGGAGAAGAAGCAGACGAAAAACTGGAGGAGGATTTTTAAAAAAAATTTTTATGTTCACGTTATGTTCCGCTTATCATTTAAATAAATTTTCCTACTTTTCAAGGTTATCATCATTTATCATAAATTTGAAAATTAAAATAAGAAAACGCCCATTTGCATAAGCGAAACACACGTATTAGTTTCTTTTTTTAAAATGTTTTTCCTCTCTCTCTCTCTCTCTCTCTCTCTCCTCCCACTTCTTCCTTCATACTGTCATGTCATCTCACTCTCATCAGAATCGATAGAAACTTTTTAATAGATGGTATCGAAAAAATTTTTTTAAATAATTTAAATTTCGAAACGTGATAGTGATAATAATAATATTATGTAAATAATTATTTAAAAAAATAAATAAATAAATAAATAATAATAATAATAATGAATAAAAATTCGTTGATAATTTTTTTAATATTTTTACTCACCGTGTTTATGTGTAACGTTATTCATGTGAAATGTCAATTTCAAAGAGATTCGCAAAGAGGAAGAGCCATTTCCGGTTTTAGTAGAACAAACGATGCCGATTACGATGACAACGATATAGGTAAATTAATTTTTATTTGTTTGTTTCCTTTTTATAATTAATTATCGATCGTATCGATCGATCGATTCTCGATCTTCCGCTGAAATAATTAATTAATTAAATAACGATTTAATTTTTTTTTTTTTAAATTAATCATGTGCCACCATTTTAACGGTTATAAAACTCACGCCATATTTAATCAAAATTTCATTTGTTCGATCGGATATCGCAATTTGTTTTCGTTTGTTTTAGATGATAATCAACCGCCGAGAAAATATGGTAGAAGAGGTTATAGGTCAAATTGTAGATGTGCTAAAATATCAAATTGTCCAAAACTTCAAATAACAATACCAAGATGTCCACCGGAAGAATTTGTTTGTTGTTTTAATTAAATTCATTTTCTTCTTCTTAAAAAAAAAAGTTGTTTTCATCTTTTAGTCATCTAGTCGACCTGGAAAATTTTTTTATTATCATTATTATTAATTAAATGGGTCATAAAAACATCCAATAATTAATTATTAATATTTTTTTTTTCACTTGAATTATTTGGAATTGTTTGTTTGTTTGTCTCAATTGGGTCAAATATCAAGGAAGCTCTTATCTTACCAACAGTCACCAAGGTTAATTTCTTTTTTTTTTTCTGCCTTTAATAATATTGTACTCATTATTATTATCATCACGATGAAAACAAGCGGGAAAATTTTAAATTTTTGATATGAATTCAACCCCATCAGCAGGGATTTTTCTGACGCCACAGACGAACCAAAACTTATTAGTCGACAACAACAACAAAAATGGATTTTTCTAGAAAACTATCTGAAACAAAGAGTAAATATTAATTTTTTTTTTAAATTACATACAATTAAATGTCGCGCCTACAAGGACGTAGAAATTATTATAATGAAAAAAGCAGACGAAAAAATCACGAGGTCAGGTTGTTGTAAATTTCACCTTTAAGATGATTTTTTTTTTGAAAAAGATAATTACCGTTTATGTTATAAAGGTTATAATAAAATGTTATATAAAATCAATAATAATAATAATAATAATTAAATTCCAATTTTTTTGTCCAAAATTGTTTTCTCCCAATACTCCATCATTTATTTGTACATATTTTTTAATTTTAGTTATATAAATATACCTGAAAATAATTGAAATTACCACGTTATTGTAAATAAATAAATAAATAAATAAATATTAATGTAATTAAATAAGTTTTAATTAATTTTTAAATTCCTCAAAAATTATTGTAAGAAACGAAATTTTAATAGGTCGGGTAAAATTTCAAACAAAATGCCGCCATACCTGAAAAAAATGCTGGAATTTAAAACTCCAAATTGTAAAAAAAAAAAAAAAAATATACATTTCAAGTAATAAAATATTAGTCATATGATTTATTCGGAAACATAATTCCATGTGGTTTCCCAACAGCGATAAATATTCCCCGGAAGTGTAACATCCAGTTAAAAAAAAGCATTCGATTGATAAATGCGTGTAAATATAACAAATAAATAAATAAATAAATTTTTTCGCTGTTGTTGCTGTTGTTTTTGGAGTATATTATGTGCGCGTTTTCCGAAGAACAAAATTATTCATTTAAATGGATAACATATTTGGTTGTTATTATCGGTATATATACATTTATACATTGGTTTTTAGCAACGCCATTACTATATTCACATTTTTACGATTGTTGTAATGAAAAATGGCATAAAAATTGGATTATTTGTTTTCTCGTGTCATCGTTTGCCATATGGTGTCTGAGCACTTTGATTATTTTCATAATATGGTTTTTTTGTAGAAGATGTTTAGGGACAAGATTAAACGAATCCGATTTTCCTTTGACTGAAACGAAAAAAGAAAAACAATTAAACGATGGCGGTGTGACGAAAGAAAAAATTTCACAAAAATCAGAGGATAAATTTAAAAATTCAAATAATTTATTAAAATTACCGGAATTCAATTCTAATAATAATTTAACCGTTGTTAAAATGACCGAGAATGGTCACGACGAAAACGGGATACTCCCGAAAGTCGATTGTCCCATTCCAGTAAGTGAAAGTCAACATTATATTCAAACGGAGATTCCAGAAGACAAAACGTGTCAGACTCCAGTTAAAACGCCACGTGAAATTTTTTTTAAAGATATGATAGAAGCTGCTAACATGGCTAGGAAAAATGATTTGTATTTTGATTTTGATCCTGAAAAAATAACGGAAAATATTAAAAAAAAATATGAAAATGATGGTAATGTTGATGATGGTGATGGTGGTGGTGATGGTGATGCAGAAGATGAAATATTTGATGATGATGATGATGATGATTTGAAAACTCATAATGATAATAATACATTTTTCATTGGTTCACATAAAGAGAGAGAAAATTCAACATCAGAAATATTTTTAACACTTGGCCATGAAGGAATAACAATAAATGAACCTGTTGTTTTAGGACAATTTCAAATACTTAAATAATTTTTCAAATATACCTTTTTATGCATTCATGGTTAAGATTGGCCATCTTGTAATAGATTAATAGATAAATTCTTGAGAAATAGTTTCTTCAGATTGTTGTTGTGGTTTTGTCAAACTTAAATCATGAAAAAGTTATTTTATATAATCACAAAAGTCTTACTTCAGTTGATTGTCACAACTTGAACAAAAAAAGTATAAAATTATGGGAATGATATCAAATTCTTTCTCAAAATTGGTTTTCTTCATTGTAACTGCATTTCTGTAATCATAAAATATAATACAATTAATAAATTTCATTTCAAATACAAGCAAACGTTGTAAAAATCATTTGTAAAAATTCAAAAAAATTGTAAAAAATTAAATCTATTATTATTATTATTACTAATGTATAATGATAAATGTTTAATTTATTTAATACTGCATTATTATTAACATTAATTAATTTTAAATATAAATTTTGTTTAAAACGATAAAAGATTTTAATATTTATTCACCTTAATAGTAATAATTTAATTAATTAAAAAGTTTTTTTTTTACCATTTCAATGAAATCGAACAAGTAAAAAGTTCTTTGATGTTCTAGAAAAAAATTTCATATCATTTTACCGCGTCAATGGAATCAATTTCCGTTAGATTTTTTGTTCTAAAATTAAAAATGAAATTTATTGAAAATAAAGTTAAGAATTTTATTAAAGAACTTTGTTTTTTATTTTAAATACACATTTTTTGATTTAAAACTTAATATTAATATAAATAATTAAAATTGAAAATAATTTTTGTCAAAATTCACACACACAACGTACAAGTTTAACTAAACGGATTTTTTTACTCTATGGAATGATGAAAGTTTCCATTTGATTCGATCAAAATAAGGTTAAAACTTAAAACGTTAAAATGGAATCAGACGAATATAACGTGACAGATTCGGAAGATGATTATTCGGAAGAAGAAAAAGTTTTGTTGGAAAAAGCTCGGGATTCGATGAGAGAAAAAGATATTTCAACCGATGTAAAAATATTTTCTTTGACATAACCCATACTGGTTAAGATTTGAATGAAATAATTGCAAATGTTAAATTATTTTTTTTGTATATTTAGGAAGAAGTTTATGGATTTGATGGGTCTGACAGTGAAGATGAAAATGATAAACTTAGTGATATCGATATGGGAAGTGACATTGAAGAAGAGGAAAAATTACCTGATGAAAGAGCATGGGGAAAAAAGAAAAAAAGCTTTTATAGTACAGATTTTGTTGATCAGGACTATGATGGTAATTGAGGAAAAGTTTTCCATTTATTTTTAATATTTAGCATTTTTTCCTGCATTCAATACAAATTTATAACGTTTGTTAGGTATATATCAGGGACAAGAAGCAGAAATAGCAGAATTGGAAGAACAAGAAGCTAAAAATATACAAAAACGTCTCACTGAACAATTAAACGAAGCAGATTTTTCAATCAGCGAATTAGTTAATCTAGCAGAAGCATCTGAAAGTGCATCGAAAGAAATCATTCAGACGGATTTGTCGAAATTATCCAAAAGGGAAAAATTAGACCTTGTGAAAAAAGAATCGCCAGAGTTTTTTGCACTCATTCAAGACTACAAGGAAAAATTAGAAGAAGCGCAAAATTTTATGCCTGTTATTAATTATTTTAAAAATAAAATGAAAAAATCATTTCCAGCATTAGAATTTCTACAAACTAAATTAACAATCATTTTAAAGTGAGTAAATCGCTCCGAGTAAAACCGGAAAACATTTATTTAAAAATCGACAAAGAATTAAAACTATTAAAGATTAATAATAACATAATTTTTATTTATTTACAGTTATTGCACAAACATAAGTTTTTATTTATATTTAAAAGCTAAAAGGATTCCAATTAAAAATCATCCAATATTAAAAAGTTTATTTAAATATAGACAACTTCTTCAACAAATGAATGAAATCGATATGAAAGTAATTAAACCGGAATTAAAAAATATATTAAAATTAATCGAATCAGGGAAAGAAATTGAAATCGATGAAGAAATCATGTGAGTTACATACATAATAATTTTTTTTATTTTTTAATTCGAAACAAATTTTTTTAAAATTATTCATTTCCCCCCCCTTTTCCCCCTACTCTACCCCCACTTTAAATTACAGATCACATAAACCAATATTAAAATTATTAACGAAAAAACAAAAACAACAACAATTGGATAAATCAAATATGGAATTAACGGATGAGGAAGATTTTGATGAAAATGATAGGGAATCCATTGATGAGGAAGAATCCGAAGAGCGAGACGACAATCAAGAAAACCTGAACGAAAAAAGAGCAATAACGTACGAAATGGCTAAAAATAAAGGTTTAACACCGAAAAGGAAAAAAGAATTGAGAAATCCAAGAGTTAAAAATAGGAGGAAATATGAAAAGGCTAAAATAAGAAGAAAAGGACAGGTTAATTTTGAATTTATCCCAAAAAAAAAAAAAAATGGCGAATTTTATCTCCCATCGAAAATTAATAATAAATTCATTTTTGTATTATTTCAGGTACGATTGGCTAGAAAAGAAATACCTTCTTACGGTGGAGAACTCTCGGGTATAAAAACATTCGTGACAAAAAGTATAAAATTTAAATGATTACGTTTTTATACATAAAAATTATTTAAATAAAAATCATATTAAAAATAAATTTTGTTGTTGTTTAATTTTTCACTTTTAATAATTATCAATCAATAATTTTTCCATTAATAAATAAATAGACTTTTAAATGTTTTTTAAATAAATAAAAAAAAATTCATTTTTATTAAATCTTTTACACATACATATATATATATATATAAAAAAAAACAATAATTGATATTTAATCCACAAATAATAATTTTTTTGTTAAATTTTGTTCGTTAAGTAAAACAAACATGGCCCTCCCACTTCACGCCCGCCCACTTCCCCCACCGCCCCTCCCCTCGTTGCCCAACACGAAAAAAATTAATAAAATTTTGGGCAAATTAAATCGATTTACTTTTTTTTTTTAAATTTTACATAAATTTTACACGTGCATAGATAAATATCATTTAATAATAATAATAATAATAATAACAACAACTTTATATTTAACGTATTAAATTCGCGTGTTTACACACGTGGGGGAACACATATTATCATTATCATTAGACTAGAAAAAATTAAAAAAAAAAATTTGACTAGGCATTAATTATATATATATATATATATATAAATCTCATAAAATTCATTCGAGTTTTATCCTTTTTTTTCTAATAATAATAATAATAATAATAATATAAAATTGTGACGAAATTTTCCATTTATAAATAATAATAATAATAATGAGTTTAATAAGATTAACTCATGCGTCTACAAATAATATAAAAAACAAATTTTTTTCCTTTTCTCTCTCTCTCTCTGTCTCTCTTTAAATAAATATTTTCCTAATAAAAAGACTAATATCAAATTAATAATAATAATAATGATAATAAATAATAATAATAATAATAGTGATGATGCATTTGTTTGTAATTTCATTTACAAATTAAGGCCTCTTGCTTTCGTTTCTACAAAAAGCATAATAATTTTTTTAAGCGAAATCATTCTCGAATAATGCGTGAGTGAGTGCGTGCGTGAGTGCGTGCGCATGCGTACACGCAATTCACTTGATTTTAATTTTATGTAATTTCAATTTAAAACCTAATAATTCGGATAAAACTCCGGATAGAGCAGATAAAACGACGACTTTTGTTATCGTGTAAACGTACGGATTCGCCGATAAACCGGATATTTTAAAAGGACTTTCCAATTCCTATAAAATAATAATGATAATGATAATAATAATGACGATGATAACAGCAAAACCTTTCCCATCCCAACCTACCTTCAATAAATCCGCGGCCAATTTTAAAACGCTGTTGGCAACCATGAGTTCATCCTTTTTGTGAGGTTTCTGTTCGATTTGAAGATACAAATTGATCTTGAAATAAATCCAAAAAAAAAAAAAAAAAAAATTATTTATTTATTTATTTATTACAACCATCGCCATCTTATATATACATCATTCGCAACGTACCTGTTCGGTTAAAAGAACGGATAAATTCCTATATTTACGATTCGTTTTATTACCCAGTGTCATGAACCTGAGTAGGTACAATCCTAAAACTAAACACCAAACGACGGCTTCTAAATTACATTCCGAATGCAATCGCATGGAATCCTATAAAAGAAAAAAGATAATAATACAAAAACAACAGGGAGAGAGAGAGAGAGAGAGAGAGGGAATCATCGTAAAAAAATAAAAATACCTTTAAAAGTTCGACGCTGAGAAAAGAAAGTAAAAGTAAAGTGATTATAAAAGCCGTTGAAACAATGACGTCAACAGATCTTTGCGGTCCTCTTTTCTAAACACAAAAAAAAAAAAACAAATTAATGGTTGACAACAACCGGAACAACCACAACAACAACAACCGAAGAAGGGACAAACCTTTAAATAAGATCTTATGGATAACCACGTTTTTATATTTCTAACTTTGTTGAGGCGAAAATGTGGCAATTCCGACTTTCTCGCTCTCCTGAACGACGTCAACCTGCTGAAAAACTTGGCGTATAAAAATCTCTGTTTGAAAGTTCTTTCCGCCACGGCGACGAGAAAGAAAAACAAAACGGATAACATGAATTTTTCAAACATGGCACTCAATATCACAAAACGCTCTCTGAAAACAAACAAACAAACAAACAATCATTCGTTTCCTTCCTTTCCCTTTTGAAATTGAATGAATGAATCAAAAAAAACAAAATGGACACCGACAGAAAAGTGGTTCCGAACGCCGTGTCTAGTAAATTAAAAACGATTCCGTTTAATTTTGTCAAAAGTCTGTCGGAAATATCGATTGTCGTAAGCGATAATATCGGATCGAGTTGAAATGAATTTTCCCGCGACGGCGACGATCCCGAATTATCCTGTGTTATTTCGCTTAAACGTCTCAGCGACGGAAGCAAAGCTATGATGGAAGAAACGAATATCCCTGCAAGAGAGAGAGAGAAAGGATAAATAATGTTTTCTTTCTTTCTTTTTTCACAAAGGACACGCAAAAGTAGAAAATGATACTCGCCGACGTAAAAATAATCCATGCTTTCCCTAATTGTTTCAACTCTTGCTATTATGGCCGAACTTATGTCGAGCACGGATAAATCCGCTCTTTTCACGTCGTTATTTTCCCATATTGTACAACTCACTGTAACGAATGACAAAACATTCAATTATAAACTCGTCGTTAGTCAATCAATCAATCAATCAATCAATCAAAAGAATGACTCACCTTTATCCGAAGATGCACAACTCGGGCTTAATATCGACGGTGACTGATTAAAAAAAAAAAAAGAAACAATTTTTTATTAATTTCTAGCTTTGCAAAATGATGATGGTGAAGAAGAAGAAGAGAAAGAAGAAGGACAAGAAGAGGAAGAAGAACAAGAAGAAGAAGAAGAGGAAGCAGAGGAAGAAGAGGAAGCAGAAGAAGAAGAAGAAGGGCTAGGAGAAGAAGAAGAAGAGGTAGAAGAAGAGGATGAAGAAGAAGAGGAAGAAGAGAAAGAGGAAGAGGTAGAAGAAGAGGTAGAAGAAGAAGAAGAAAAGGAAGAAGAAGAAAAGGAAGAAGAAGAAAAGGAAGAAGAGAAAGAGGTAGAAGAAGAAGAAGAAAAGGAAGAAGCAGAGGAAGAAGGGCTAGGAGAAGAAGAAGAAGAGGTAGAAGAGGAAGTGCTCACCAGTTGGAATTCCCATGCGAAAGGATGATCGTCCAAAACTTTACTCTCGTTTAACGTATCAGATTCATCAATTTCGGACGTGACGCTGCATTCTTCGCTGTTGGTCGTTATTCCGATCCATTCTGCGGCGGAAGTCGTTCCTTCGTTTAAATTCCGTCCGTCGAATCGATCACCGTCGTCACTTTCGCAACTGCTGTTGTAAAAACTCCCGCGACACGATGACGTTTTCGCCTGGAATTTTTTTACAACACTCGAAATCATTTTTTTGCTCTTTTTATTCCTTAATTTTAATCCTAAAGGAAGAAAAATGATTTACTTGAAACGTTAAAGACCCTCTTCGTCTTTGAAGCAACCTTTGAGGCGACGTTGATTTTTTCGTTCTCAAATTTTCTCTCGAACAATCCGAATCCGTGTCTTTGTTGTCCGTTTCGTGATCGCATATTTCACACGACGAATGCAAATCCGAAGAATCTGTTAATTGTTAATTTCAAATTTATCTTTTTTTTTTTTTTTTTTTAAAATTAAATCGTTTTAAAAATGGCGTCTTTAACGACTTACTCGTCGTTTGAGGACGACGCAAAACTTGATAAGACAATTCGTTTATGTTTCCCGTCACGTCTCTCGAGTTGGAATTCGACAGCAAAGTCCCATCGTTTCCACCATCTTTTCTGTTTTCCACCCCTTCTCCTCCTACGTACTCCTTTCCCTCTTCCTTCGATTCTTTTTTGCCTTTACACCCATTTAACGTATTGCTGCTGCTGCTACTACCACCACTACCATCTTCGTCGGAAGATATTTGATCCCCTCGAACTGTATCTTGATTTTCTTCACCGTTTTCGCTCGATCCGTTACTGTTTAAACTTTCGAAACCGTCGTCTTCGACGACGCACTTCGCCGCCGCAGCACATTCATTTCCTCTCATTTTTTTCTCACCATCTAATAATTGTTGTCCGACATTTTCTTTTATTTCATCTTTCACGCTTTGAAGTGGAACGCACCAAGCAATGTTTTTCCTACGCGACGAACCATCTTCGACTCTGGAATTCGTATCGTTAATCTCTCATCAGTAACAAAACAAATTTGTAACATCATGCAATAATTATTATTATTATTATTATTATTAATTTACGTTTCTATCTTGAGATCATCTTGACTTTTTGTTGCCGAAACGATAGACGAAACGGATTCCTTGCTCGAATAAACTTCTTGTTTACTATCGAATGCTGAAAAGACAAAAGATTATTCTTAATTATCTATTATGCCATTTGAGTAAAAAGAAAAAAAAAAAAAAGTGATTAAAAATTAAATCCGACTTTCTAATTAAATTTTTACACAAGGACATAACAAAAGAATTTGATTTTTGTATTACCAAGGTCGCGACCTTTAACGCTTATTTAAATATATATATATATATATATATAAATATACATATATTATTAATAGAACTCACGTCTCGTGTCGATAAAATGATAAAAATACGTTTTTACCGATAACGATCAGGGCCTAAACGTGATTTAAACTCATCGACATCATCGTCGCCATCATCATCATCATCATCATCATCATCATTATCATGTACGTGATTTAAACGTAGGCACGCGTTAAATCAAATCGTTTTTTCTATTTGGCGCCATTTATTTATAGCCTAGTAACGAACGATTTAGTAACAATTTATCATATTTTCACTGGATTTTTACTTTTTAACCATGTTTAAACTAATTATTTTTGAATTATTTCAAATAAATAAATTAATTAATTAATAAACGAACGGGACGAATTAACGTACAGAAATTCCTCCTTTTGATTCTCCTCCTCTTCGACCTGGATTTTGAATAATTTTGAGAAATGTTATTTGTCGATACTATCTGAGAATGAATTATGCTGAGAACTAACATCATTCCTATGGGAACTAATACTTCGTACGTTGATACGTGCTGAAATAATTTTAAAATCTCAATGAGATAACTTTTTACAAAAAGAATAAGAATTATTTAAAAATTATCAGTTTTACTTCGATACATATATTTTATACCATTTTACATAATTAAATGGTATAAACTCGAAGAGAGAGAGAGACTTCATTTTCAAATGATTGAAAAACCTTGAAAAACCGATTCCTACTTTTTTTTGATGAATTTGTAATTATGATAATAACAGTTATGATAATAAATATTATAGATAAGTTAAATATAATGCTAATGTAAATATTGAAGAGAAAAAAAAAAACAAGAACCTGATTTTCCACTTACCTCAAACAACTGATCGTCAAAGTTCAAAAAATAAACTAACACATTACACAATTGTAATATATACAAAAGAAGTAACAAGGTAAATATTGTAAAACAAGTTTGTTCTATCCACCAATAAGAATACAGAGGTAAAAATAACCATCTGAAAATATTAAAAAAATGTTATAAATAAATACATATTTTTTTTTATCAATGATCATTTATAATAAAAAAATAATAATAATAATAATAATACCTAATTAAAGCTAATTTTGTTACTGTGATGAGGCCATGTTTCGGTTTAGCCTTTGGAAATGATGATCCTCTGACAAGATCAACATCGATTAAATCCGTTTTTAACTTTGCCGTTTTTTTTAACACATGAGTCAACCCGTGTAAAATCCTTTGCTCGACCGTTTTTTCCCATTGTTGTTTATCATATGTACCTATTTTTTTCTGATACCTTAAATAATAATAATAATAATAACAAAAAACTAAAACTGAAACTGAAACTGAATTTTAAAAAACGTATCCATAATATTAATTTCGATATTTTTTTGTAATCGGTAAATGATTTATTAATAAAATATATTTATCGAAAATGAAATTAAATTTAAATTTACAATTAAACTGTCAATATTTAAAAAATTCAAGGGCACAATTTAAAATGTAATTTTTCTAATTTTTATTTAAAAATTTTAGTTAATAAATAAAAATGAATGATTTATTATGAATTAACTTTGAAATTATTGTAAAAAAAAAAGAAAAAAAAATTTTTTTTACTTACCAAGAAACTAAATCTTGCAAACCCATTACTTATTTAAAACACATCGAGTAAAACCTTGTTTACTGTTAACTGAAACAAAAAAATAATAATATTAATAATAATAATAAATAAAAGAACAATTTTCTTTCCTAATTAAATAAATAAATTTTTTTACAATTAATAAAAAAATGCAAAAAAAAATTTTTAATAATAACTCATGAGTAAAAAATTTTGAAAAAAAAAAAAAAAAATTTAAAAATTTAAAAAATTCACATCCCTTTTTCTAGGTCAGGTTGAAAAATAATATTTTGGCTAGCTTTGCTAAATAACCTTGTTTTATTTTCCTTTAAAAAAAAAAAAAAAAAAAAAAGTTATTTTAAAAATTTGAAATGTAAATGAAGGAAAAAAATTTATTTATTTATTTAAGTTTAAATAAAAAATCGTTGATGATATTATACACTAACGCAAAAAACAACAACTTCTTCGACAAGTGTAATTACTAATGAGGGAAAAAAAAAAAAAGAAAAAACTACGTTTAAAACAAACAAACAAACAAACAAACGTTAATTATAAATAATTAATACAAACCTTTAAGATGTAAATCTCGGGATAAACTATTGACAAGTTAAACGACAAAGAGAGATCCCTCGACTTTACATTACTAAAAATAAAAGCTTTGTTTTGATTATTTTTCAATACTGCCAACTGTAAAAAAATAAAAAAAAAAATGGACTCCAAAAAATTCATCCATCCATACAAATTCCGATTAATAAAAAATTCCTAATTTAAATAAAAAATTTTATTATTTTTTCAATTCCTTTTTGAAATTTTCCATAAAAATTATTTTAATAAATCGAAAAGAATTATTTTTTCATAATTTTATAGCTTTTAGGGGGAAAATCGAAGCAATTAATTGATAAAAAAAAAAAAAAAAAAAAAAAAAAAATTTAAATTTCGAAGGCTGCGACGGATGGTAAAATCAGCTTACCAACATGAACAGCTGATCAGAATTAAAAATGGCTAGTAACGATATAGTATCTGCCATTTTACATTATAAAAGAAACATCGATAAAATTTCTGATCCGCCCGAAAGAGCATTAAAATATGAGGATAGAGTAAGTTGGGTTTTTATAAAATTTTCATTTTTTTTTCTCCCCTTTTCCTCACTGATTTCTTTTTTATTAAAATATTTCTTGGCGACGTCATCTCTTTCGATTGAATTTCAGGTTTTTTTTTTCTCTCTCTCTCTCTCTCTCGCTCTCCCCTGTGGAAAAAATGAATTTTTTTCCTTGTCGTACAAAATAAACCTGTAAAATTATTATTAATTTCACGTCATACCTTAAAATTTATTTTCATTATTATTTTTCATCAATTATTTAATTTTTGCCATATGTTATCAAATGCCATGAGTAATTTAAAAAAAAAAAATATTCAAAGAAAAAATGGACTGCTAAAGCCTGTAAAAAATTAAAATTTTAATTAATTTACCAAAAAAAAAAAAAACATCATGTCTCTTTCTAATGATTTCCCTTTTCTTCAAGGTTCTTTTAGCTTTTATCTAAAAATTTACTTCCTTACTTCCTCGAGATTAAAAAAAAAAAAAATATAATTAATTGGATTAATTTAGTAAACCTTGGTTTTGAAGCTTTCTCAAAGATTATTCTTTGCTAATTAAAGATTATATTATTATTGTTAAAGAAAAGTAATTTATTTTTCAGTTATTGCATTGCATTAACAAATTATATAAACTCCCAGTGAATGTTAACCACCTTCAGGAAACTGGAGTTGGGAGAACTGTTAATTCCCTTAGGAAAATCGAGGGTGAAAAAGGTTTAGGAGATGCAGCAAAAGCTCTCGTCGCAAAATGGAAAACTATGGTCATGTTGGAAGATGAAGCTGAAAGAAAGCAAAGAGAAGAATCTTCCGAGCCATGCGAAGAAGATTTAAAAAGGATTAAAATAATTAGGGAAGCACAAAAAAATGAGCATAAAAAGACTGATAAAAATGATTCTTCTTCTAAAAATTCTGATGGTTCTAGTGAAATAAACAAAAGCAAAAGTCATGAGAGTAGTAAAAAGCATAAAAGTGAATATATAGAAGATTCTAAAAGTAAAAAAAGAAAACTCGAATCTGATGGTGATTCTCATAATCATCATCATCATCATCATCATCACCACCATAATCATCACTCAAAAAAAAAAGAGACTTTTAGTACTGATTTGGAAAAAAATTCATCATCTGATAATCATGTATCTGAATATAAAGATAGTAAAACAAAATCGAAAAGCAGTTCTAGTGGTAGTAGTAGTAGTAGTAATAACAGCAGCAGTTTTACTCCAAACAATAAAGACAATGATAGAACAAGTCATAAATCGTCAAATTCTCATAAAAGCCATGAATCATCCAAAGATGGAGGAAGTAAAAAACACAAAGATAGCGAAATTGAAAAAACAAAATCTGAGAGTTCATCTAGTAAACACCATAAGTCATCTCATAATAATAATAATAATGAAAGCAAAGAAAAAAAGAAAAAGGTGTATGCTGAAAATGATGGCTTCGATTCTCAATCAGGAGCAAGTTTTGCCGATGCATTGGGACCAATGGTTGTCAAAAAATCACCAAAGAAAAAAAGTTATAATGGTTCTGTTTCATTATCGCCTGCTCCTATAGATAATTCATCAAGTGAAAACAGTAATTCATTGTCGAAAGAAAAAAAAAAAGATGTGGTAAGAAGAAAAAGTCAAATAATTAATGGAATGAAATATTTTACTGTTACATAAGTAAAGATAAACTATTTTTTTGTTTTTTTTTTTTACAGAAGGATATGCTTTTTTCCAAACCTAAATTGGAACCACTCGAACCTGATTTAGTCGCAACTCTACCAACTCCAACTCCTTATTACAAACCTCATCCTAGTTATATACCTACTCCAGAAGCTGTTAAAAAGAGAATTCAAGCAGAAGAGGATGCATTGAGCACAATTATGTCGAATAAAAATACAAGAACCAAAGTTTACTCTGGAGTCAAAGGAGGTTTATCATATGTTCCTTCATTGTACGAATGTTGCTGTCGAATTTTACAACAACATATTGACGGTTAGTGTTTTTAATTTCTTCTAAAGAGTGTCACAATGACGATTTGAAAACATTTGATCATCAATTAATTAAAATTAATTTCAGCCTTGGAATACACTGGGGGAATTCCATATTCTCTTTTAAAACCAGTTTTAGAAGGTGCCACTCCTTCGCAACTCTATCAATTCGAACATTTTAATCCTTACATAATAGAAGATACTGACGATTTGTGGAAATTTCACGTCAACAAAGAATTTCGAAGTCAAAAAAGACAAGAATTTGAATCATGGAGAGATATGTACCTGGTTAGAATCCTCATTTAGGATTTCCATTATTTTCCTTTTGTGTGGAAACATTGGTTAATTTCCTTTTCTTTTCTTGATTGTAGAGATGCGTCGACGAACGAGAAGAAAAATATAAAGCCGTCACAGCTACCATCATACAAAGAACAATTGAAAATTCCGTTCCCGTGCGAAAAGCAAAACTGGCTTACATAGACGTTGCGAAACCTCCGCGAAACATACTCAAAAAACAAGTATTGTCTTCTGCTTTTTTTTTTTATTTAAATTTTGTCCTTTTTTTTCTCATTCTCTTTCTTCTTTTAACGGATTATTTATTTACACACGTCATTTAATTATTTTTTTTTTATTTTTGCAGTTGAAAAACGGAACGACAAAACCGGATGCGTGTCGTCTTTTAGGAAAAAATGATCCCGACGTCGTTCGAGTTTCGGCGCCAAAACAACCGACGACGAAAGAACCCGCGGTTATAAGAGTAAAACCAAAAGTAGCTCCACTCATGCAAAAAACATTAAAATCAATTAAAATGTCAAGATTTAAAAGATGATGATAGTTTTTTTTTAAAAAAAACGAAAAACGAAAAACGAAAATAAATAAACGAACTTGTTGAGATTTGAAAACGAAATTCCGGAACGAAACGGCAACAAGACTCACCCTTCCCTCCTACTTTTTTTTTTTTTTTTTGCCAATCACCACCGCCTTCTCTCATTTTTCTTTATTTACGTTCTCTCTCCATTTTCCCTCCATTAATTAAATTAACTGATCAAATGAAATTTTTTTTTTAAAAAATATTTTTAATCAGAACAATTTAAAATGCGTATATTTTTAATACTTTATTATTATTATTATTATTATTATTATTATTAAATCAAACGTTATCGATTTTTAAACGATGTTTCTCTCATTTTAGTAATTTTAATTGTAATTTTTTATTTTAAAAAAATGCATCACGTTAATAATAATAAAAATATTTACGTATTATTATTATTATTGTGTACGTAAGAAAATAACGAATGACATCACTCCTCATTCCCCGCCCCCCTCTCTCTCCCCCCTCCTATTTTTCCCTATCGTTTCCGAATCAATGTTAATAATAATAATAATAATTATTATTTTTTTGTTGGATTTTTAAAATAAAATTTTTTTTTTTTAAATTTATTTATTTGTAAAATATTAATCAAAGTACCTCTAATTCGTTTTCGTATTGTTTTATACCTATTTTTTATAAGGGTAGTACGGGGGGAGGGGGGAGTCGGGAAGGGGAGAATGTCAAAGGGTTAAAATTTTTAATTTTTTTTTTTATTATTTTTTTTTTTTGTTTGGATTTTTTACTTATTTGTGATGAGAAAATTTTATTTTCTTGTATATATGAAATTAAACCCGATAATATAAATTGTAATACTATTATTATTATTATTATTATTATTATTATTATTATTATTATTATTATTTGATAATGGCGATAATTAACGAATACCGACGGATGTTATTAATAAAAATAATAATAATGAATTTTTTTTTTTAAAAAAAACTGACACGGATTTATATTTTTTCCCTTATGTGTGTGTGTGTGTGTGTGTGTGTGTGAATGAATGATTGATTGATTGACTGATTGATTGATATTTAAAAAAAAAAAAAAATTCTACGTCCGTTACTACTTTTACTTATCATTATTATTATTATAGTTTTTTCAAACATTTAAAAAAAAAAAAATTATTTTATTATTATATCGAGTCTAATAATAAACGTCACACAATTATTAACATAATAATAATAATAATAACAATAATAATAATAATAATAATAATAATAATGATAATAATGATAATGATAATAATAATGAGGGAATCGGGTAAAAACCTGGATAATAAACGAATGAAAAACTATCCGACGGATAAAAATCATTGTCGCGTTTATAAATGTAATAATAATAATAATAATGATATTGATGATAATGATGATGATGATAATAATAATAATAATAATAATAGTATGGAATCGGGTAAAAACCTGAATAGTAAATCAATAAAAAACTATCCGACGGATAAAAATCGTTGTCGCGTAAAATAAATGAAACAATAATAATAATGATAATGATAATAATAATAATGATAATGATAATAATAATAATAATAATAATAATGATAATGATAATAATGATAATAATATTATTAATAATGATTATAATAAAAAATTTCTCTTCCTTCTATTCGTCTATTTAATAAATAGAAAAGAAAAAAAAAAATTTCGTTTTAATATTATTTTCATCATCATTATTATCATCATTATCATCATCGTTTTTTTCAATGAAATAATCATCATTATATTTTAAAAAATAGTCAAAATCGACTCGTTCATTTATTTATTTATTTATTTATTTATTGTTGTAATCATTTTTTTAATTAATTAATTTATTAATTTTTTTTTTTTCTTTTGTTTGTTTGTTTGTTTCGTTCCAATCATTTGATTCGAATAAAATTAAATAATAATGATAATAATGATAATAATAATAGTTTAATAAATTAAATTAAATTAAATTTTTTTTTTTTTTCTTTTTTAAATTTTATTATTGTTTGCAAAAAAATGCATTCGTTTAAATTTCACAAAAAAAAAAAAAAAAAAAATTTTCAAATTGTATAAAAAACTCGTTTGTTCTCCTTCTCCTCCTCCTCCTCCTCCTTCTCTCTCATTTGTAATACTTATTAAATTAAATTAATGATGCATAAAATAAATTATTACGCGTAATACCCAAAAAACATAAAAAAACTTACAAATAATATTAATAATAATAATAATAATAATAATAATGATTAAAAAACCAAAACTAATACAAAACAAATTTTTTTTTTTTTTTTTTTTTTTTTTACCTTTTTTCCGCCTTTTTTTTTTTTAAAAACAATTTTACAAATAATAATAATAATAATAACTAAAAAAATAAATAAATAAATACCGACGGGATAATTTCAAAATTGTGTGTTTGTGTGTGTGTGTGTGTGCGCGCGCGTATATAAATATATATATATATATGTATGTATAAAATAAAAAACTTTACATAATGATTCGGATATTGAGAGAAAAAAGGAAAAAAAAAAAAAAAAAAAAAAACATTTTTGTTAAACGCCATGACATCCATCATCCGCCATCATCATCATCATCATCATCGTCATTTCACTGCAAGTTTTTTCACGCAATTAAATTATTTCCTCCTCCTCCTCCTCTTCCTCGTTATTTGCTTTCCTCGACTTGCACACTTTTTTGTCTCGATTCGGGTAAACGATTAATTATTATTAAATAATCCACGTGTGTGTATACGTGTGAATAAAAAAAAAATGGAAGCCAAATGCGCATTGTCCATCCATCGATTGATTAATAAAAATTCATTTTTCTCTCTCTCTCCATCTCTCCATTGATTCAATTGGTATGATTACTACAACTACTACAACTACTACAACTATTACTACCATTATTATTATTATTATTATTATTATTATTCGATTGAAATGATTTACTCCTACTAATTCTCTCTTACACGGATTGAGTGAGCTTATACAATTTTTCAGATTTAAGTTCCTTTAGAGTACTCACGCAGTGAGCTTTTTTAGGCTCTAAATATTTATTTCTAACGTTCTGAAACGAAAAACAAAAAAATCAGGTTTGACAAACAATCAATTTTTTTTTTTTTTTTTTTTTAATATTCGCACGGCTGAAATTTTCATCGTACACCCACGTACCTGATATTTCGATCGAGGTACGTTCCAAACTTCGATCGCTAATAATCTAACGATGGGATTTAATGTTTCTACCGTGTATTCGGAACAATGCCTCAATGTTTTAGTCCACAATTCCGTTTCCGAGTCTTCCGTTCTCAACCTGAAAAATGAACCCGTAATGATGACGACGACAATAATAATGATGACTAATAATAATAATTAAAAAAACTCACCGCAGCGACAAATACAAGGCACTGGCAGCAATTAGCGAGGGTGAAACGTGACACAAATTATAACTGACAAGTGACAAATCGATGAAATATTTAGCTAAAGAATATGTTATTATGTCGACGTTTCCAACTCTACTGTATCTCCTGAGAAATTGAGCCGGAGAAGGGCGACCCATTTGAAAATTCAATGAAGAAAATATAACTTGTTCCATGTGGAAAATTTCCTGTTTCGTATACGTGCTAGCGGAAATGTCAACGAAATCAAGTACATCTGGAAAAAAAACCAAAATCATCATCATCATCATCATCATCATCATAAAAGTCTGTTTAAAGATATTGGTGGGAGAAGGGGAAGGAAGGGGGATGGGCAGCGGCTTACCGGGTGGATACATTTCTTCGTATTTAGACGCGAGAAAAATACAACTAACTCCAACCAATTGAAGTTTATCTTTGGGTATGCTCGGATGATCTTGCATGAACAAATCCAAAAGCGAAATGGAAAGGTGAATTGTTTCGTTTAACAATTTAAATGTTTGTTGGACTTCGAATAACCAGTCGACAAGAAGTGATCTCATTGTGTGCGTCATGATGTGCGAAGACGTCAAATACCGTTCCCTTATAAAATGTTTACTTTCCAGAGATTTTAAAAATTTATGTATGTCTTCGGCATAAATGTCTAATAAAAATTCATTATTATCATAATCTTCTAACTTATCGCTAAGTTTGTTAACCGGTTGAACAATTTGTACCACCACTTCTCCCTTGGGTTCTTTCACTGCCAACGGCTTTTCCAATTTTATTTTGGAAATTTCCACGGGATTTTCCGTTTTTTCTTTTTGTACTTTTATCTGTTCAACTTCTAATTTTTTTTCTACTTTTTTAACCTTGAATTAAAACAACAAAAAAGAAAAACAATATAATGAAAATCAATCATCAATCAATCATCAATCAATCACCAATCAATCGAACAAAAATTACCTCATCTTTTCCATACAACGAAATCACACTTTCAGCTTTGACGATTCTATTTTTTTTTTCCTCTAAAACAGGTTTTAGCTTACTCGTTTTTCCATTTGGTATTATTTTTGATTGTACTTGAGGTTTAATCGATTTATTTCTAAGAACGTCATTTTCTTTATTCGAAACGTCCACAACAGAACGACCAGATGCTAGTTTAGATGCATTTTCCCTTCGTTTAAAAAAAAAAAAAAAAAAATAAATAATAATAATGATTGAATATCATAAAATCATCGTGTAAAATGTCAAATGTGAAAAAAACAAAACAAACAAAATTTTACCTTTGTCTCTCGAATGCAGCTTTACCGATGATACCTGTTTTGTTTAAATCTTTATTAATTGCATTAGCTAATACTCTTCCTTTCGATTTTAAAACTGGAAACTTTGTAGGCAGTTTATTTTCATTATTAATGCACATGATATTTGTCGTAGACCTGCTACTGTCTCTTTCCTTCAACAACAAAAAAAAGAAAATCAAGTAAAAAACATTAAAAAAACCTGCTTTTAAAAAAAATGAAATAAAATTATTATTTATCGATAAGATAGATTATGAGAAAATTTTTTAAAGTACACATGTTTCTGCCAACCCCATGCAAGGTACATCTTGTATGCCATGCCATTACAAGTTAAAACATATCAAAGCAATGAATTTAATACTTAATTATGATAATACAGAGTTATAATAATTCAAATTCTTTTTATTCTTACAATTTACTTTATTAAAAAAAAAAAAAAAAAAAAACATAATTTTTAATGGCGTTAATGAGTAGAGTTTTTCACTTACAAATTAATAATTATTATTATTATATTGAAAAAAAAATACATTGTGAGGTAAAGCATTCGTTTTTTAACGACTGCATTTAAATAAGAATATAAAAATGCTTTTCACAAATAAGAAATTTTAAAAAAAATTTTGTTTTTTTTTTTTTTTTTTAAATAGAAATTTAAAGCTAACTGTGAAAGCAG